GGAAGTCTCAGGCGGGAACCCCCTCCCTATGGGGCCCGCACTTCATGTTTGAATCCGAGCGGGTTATCCGCAACGTGCAACTGTCGTCACTTTTGGGCTCTTGAGACTTGAATATGGAGGAAGTCTCGAGCGGGAGCCTCGTCTGTGAGTGAATTGTGAGGAAGTCTCAGGCGGGAGCCCCGTCCCTATGGGGCCCGCACTTCATGTTCGAATCCGAGCGGGTCATCTGCAACGTGCAACTGTCGTCACTTTTGGGCTCTTGAAATATGCATATGGAGGAAGTCTCGAGCGGGAGCCTCGTCTGTGAGTGAATTGCGAGGAAGTCTCAGGCGGGAGCCCCCTCCCTATGGGGCCCGCACTTCATGTTTGAATCCGAGCGGGTCATCCGCAACGTGCAACTGTCGTCACTTTTGGGCTCTTGAGACTTGAATATGGAGGAAGTCTCGAGCGGGAGCCTCGTCTGTGAGTGAATTGCGAGGAAGTCTCAGGCGGGAGCCCCCTCCCTATGGGGCCCGCACTTCATGTTTGAATCCGAGCGGGTCATCCGCAACGTGCAACTGTCGTCACTTTTGGGCTCTTGAGATATGAATATGGAGGAAGTCTCGAGCGGGAGCCTCGTGTGTGAGTGAATTGTGAGGGAGTCTCAAGCGGAAGCCCCCTCCCTATGGGGCCCGCACTTCACGTTTGAATCCGAACGGGTCATCCGCAACGTGCAACTGTCGTCACTTTTGGGCTCTTGAGATTTGAATATGGAGGAAATCTCGAGCGGGAGCCTCGTCTGTGAGTGAATTGTGAGGAAGTCTCAAGCGGGAGCCCCCTCCCTATGGTCATGTTTGAATCCGAGCGGGTCATCCGCAACGTGCAACTGTCGTCACTGCTGGGCTCTTGAAATATGAATATGGAGAAGTCTCGAGCGGGAGCCTCGTCTGTGAGTGAATTGTGAGGAAGTCTCAGGCGGGAGCCCCCTCCCTATGGGGCCCGCACTTCATATGTTTGAATCCGAGCGGGTCATCCGCAACGTGCAACTGTCGTCACTTTTGGGCTCTTGAGATATGAGTATGGAGGAAGTCTCGAGCGGGAGCCTCGTCTGTGAGTGAATTGCGAGGAAGTCTCAGGCGGGAGCCCCCTCCCTATGGGGCACGCGCTTCATGTTCGAATCCGAGCGGGCCATCCGCAACGTGCAACTGTCGTCACTTTTGAGCTCTTGAGACTTGAATATGGAGGAAGTCTCGAGCGGGAGCCTCGTCTGTGAGTGAATTGCGAGGAAACTTCAGGCGGGAGCCCCCTCCCCATGGGGCCCGCACTCTATGTTTGATTCCGAGCGGGTCATCCCCAACGTGCAAGTGTCAACACTTTTGGGCTCTTGAGATATGAATATGGAGGAAGTCTCAAGCGGGAACCCCCTCTCTATGGCGCCCGCACTTCATGTTTGAATCCGAGCGGGTCATCCGCAACGTGCAACTGTCGTCACTTTTGGGCTCTTGAAATATGAATATGGAGGAAGTCTCGAGCGGGAGCCTCGTCTGTGAGTGAATTGCGAGGAAGTCTCAGGCGGGAGCCCCCTCCCTATGGGGCCCGCACTTCATGTTTGAATCCGAGCGGGTCATCCGCAACGTGCAACTGTCGTCACTTTTGGGCTCTTGAGACTTGAATATGGAGGAAGTCTCGAGCGGGAGCCTCGTCTGTGAGTGAATTGTGAGGAAGTCTCAGGCGGGAGCCCCCTCCCTATGGGGCCCGCACTTCATGTTCGAATCCGAGCGGGTCATCCGCAACATGTAACTGTCGTTTGTTTGGGCTCTTGAGGCCTGAATATGGAGGAAGTCTCGAGCGGGAGCCTCGTCTGTGAGTGAATTGTGAGGAAGTCTCAGGCGGGAGCTCCCTCCCTATGGGGTCGCACTTCATGTCCGAATTCGAGCGGATCATCCGCAACGTGCAACTGTCGTCACTTTTGGGCTCTTGAAATATGAATATGGAGGAAGTCTCGAGCGGGAGCCTCGTCTGTGTGTGAATTGCGAGGAAGTCTCAGGCGGGAGCCCCCTCCCTATGGGGCCCGCACTTCATGTTTGAATCCGAGCGGGTCATCCGCAACGTGCAACTGTCGTCACTTTTGGGCTCTTGAGATATGAATACGGAGGAAGTCTCGAGCGGGAGCCTCGTCTGTGAGTGAACTGTGAGGAAGTCTCAGGCGGGAGCCCTAGGAGGATGAGGAAAGGGCAAAGGGTCAGCTAAACAGATTCTCATGCGGGGTCCTACCGTCGGAATAATTGGTAAGCAGCCGACGGCGAGCGCGCGAACGGCGAGTAAGGTCCGAGCGGGACAGGCGGGGGCCTAATTACCCAGCGCGGTGCAGAGCAGGACCTACCGCCGAAACCACAGGGCCGGAGCAGCGAGAGGAGCTGGGGGGGTGCTGCGAGCTGCCGGGGCTGCCAGGGGGCTGCAAGCGTGCGACAACCTGAGAGCAGGGCCACCAGGTGTGAATTGAATTGCAGCGAATTGACCAACCGCGGTTGGGACGCAGCCGAAATGGCGCGGCGCTCTGCCAAGGTGTGACCAGGGGGAGCCCGCCGTTACACGGGGGAGACGGCCAGGGGTGCCCGACAGGGCCCAAACGGCTGGTGGGGATTCGCGAAGCGTCAACAATTCGCTGGCCCAACTGGCCAGGGGCGTGCTAAGATATCAGGTTGCACGCTACACGTTTGCAATTTCTACTTCGCGCGCGCGTGGCGGCCCCTGGGAGTCCCGGAACGATAGTACCCCAGCCGAAAGCGGGAAGACTCCCGGCAAGGTCCCCCAGAGCGCCCTAGACGCCCCCCAGACGGTCAAACAGGCCCCGAGTCGCCGAAATATAGTTCCAAGGCATGGCCTACACACAGCCCTTGAGGCCGCCAAGAAGCCCCGAGAGAGCCTCAAGAGGCCCTCCAAGAGGGCCCTAAGAAACACAAATCGTCCCTTCCCTTCGGAAACGTATATTTGTTGTATGTACGACTTTTGAGGAATCACAGGAATCCCAGGAAGCCCAGGAATTTTGCACAACGTTCAGAACTGCCCAGGAAGCCCTCAACATCGCTACACGACGACCCATAAAACCTCCACGAGGGCCCAAACATTTAGGGAGCGAAGAACGGTATACATCAAACTTTTCCGCCGTCGGGGACGCCTGCCCCCGGACGAGTGGAAAATTTATACCCCGACGTGGCACCGTAAGGGTATAAACTTTCCAGCCGCCCTGGGACAGGCGCCCCCGACAACGAAAAGAGGCCTCCAAGACAGCCCCGAGATGGCCCCAAGAGGGGGCCCAGAGGGGGAACCCGAACAGACATTTCGAGCTCTCGGCTGCAGAGGCGCCCAGGAAGCTCCCAGAGGCCCCGAAGAGCCCCTCAAAAGGCCACAAGAGGCCCCCAAGAGGCCCTCAAAGAGGCTCCCAAGACTCTCAACAGGCCCCCAGGAAGCCCAAGAGGCCCCAAAGAAGCCCCCAAGCGGCCCCCCAGAGGCCTCAAAAACGCTCCGCAGAGGCTCCCGCAGAAGAGACCCGAAGAAGCATCCATGAGGACTTTCACCCACAACTTGAAACTCTGGTGGAGCTCTCTTGAGACATCTGAAGGTGCGAACCACATCTACCGCCCTGCCTGCCCGACCGCTCCCCCTGGGCACGAGCACACCCCCACGCAGCCACAGTGATGCGAAATGGGCCGGCGGAATGAGCGAAGCGATTACATATGCTTAGCCGTCTTGGAGGGTAGAGTTCTGGGTCCTCCACAAGAAGGCCAAGTCGCCCCACACAGTGCAGCCTGTTCATGCTTTCACTATTCTCGCGATTTCGGTCTCAAGGGCCAGGACGGCCCCCGGAGCTCCCAAGATCGCTTCAAGACGGCCTCCAAGCCCCCAAGCAAGTCCCCAAACTTGGAACTGGAGGGGGCTCCAGGAATTTCTCCCCCCCAAGACGGTCCATGAGGCCGCCGGCAGAGACCCAGAGCGCCCCACAAGAAGCCTTCCCCCTATGGGCTCCCCGAAACACCGTGGTCCACGACCCAGGCATGGTGCAGTCGACGTGTTCTGAATGTACCTGATGGAGCGGGCGTCGACTTGTAGCGTACTGGGCTTATGTGACACATTACTGGGAACAATATGCTGAGGTTAGAAAGCTTTAAGGACGATAATGGTACATACAAGGGGACATGGAAGTGGGACGATGCGTCTACCGACAGAGGATGGATCGCCGCCAGCAGGCTTGAAATATGAAGCGTAGTGGGGAGAAGGATGGAGAGGATGGGGAGTGAAAAGGGGCATGGAGCCGAGGGTGGAAGAGAGGTGAAGGGGTGCTTGAGGGGGACAGGGAGGGATAAAGGGATGGAACAATAATAGCTAGGGGAGCATAATGAAGACGGTTGCCAATAAAGAGGGAATCCTCGGCTGACAATATGAGGAGCACCATGTTCCGAGACACGGGAGGCGATCTGCAAGGAGGGAGGCTGAAAGAGGATGAGGAGGACGATGATAATGATGAACGGCAGGAACACAATCAGGATTAACAGGAGGAGGAGGAGGAGGAGGAGGAGGAGGAGGAGGAGAAGTAGGAGTAGGAGGCGGATGAGGAGGAGAAGAAAACGACGGCTGAGAAACAACTTGGAGAAGGGGACAACGAACGAAGCTGCGGAAGGCGAGGGGGGAAAGATGACAAGGGAAACGGGCCGCAGGGTGAGGAGAATGCGCGGAAGAAGAGGAGGATGAGGAGCATAATGGACTGATGGAGGACGCAAAGGAGGAGGAGAAGGGGGATGGGGAGCAGGAGAGAGGGGAGGAGTATACTGATGATGATGATGATGATGATGAGGAGGAGGAGGAGGAGGAGGAGGAGGAGGAGGAGGAGGAGAAGGAGGGCGAAGGATGAGGAGGGGGGAACAGGGCCAAAAGGGGACGAGGGGCGGGGAGGAGGGTGCAGAAGGAGGGAGGAAAATAACGAGAGCGGAGCGGGGGGGGGGCGAGGGCAGGTGGCCCAGCGCCTGGTCTTCGGGCAAACATAGAGCCCGATGCTCTCGCTGCTCGCCTCAATAGAAGGGCTGACGAGGGACGGAAACACCGGGAGGAGGAGGAGAGGAGGAGAGGGAGGAGGGGGGGAGTGAGGAGATGGGGGGGGGCAACTGGGTGCGCTCGCGCCACACACCCTACCCCTCCCAGCCATCCCTTCCCACTGCGCTGATTGTTTCTCCATCCGCGGACGCGTGTCATGGCGGAACTGAAGCTCCAGAGAAGGCCCCATCGTGTTATGCGCAATCGAGGAAGGTCAGCTGGGTACCCGATTGCGTCCGTATTTTTCAATCCGTCTGACTCTCTCTCTCTCTCTCTCTCTCCCTTTCTCGCTCTGTCTCTCTATGAACACTAGTCTCCTATCTCCCCTGACCCCGTCTGGGAGATGCCTGGCCCTCTCCGCGTGATGTGTTTTACACAGGGTTTTCAAACGTTGCGTTTCTTATGTTTTTCAATCTGGCTTTTTTTAGGTACTTCGAAATTGTGCTCTCGCTGCAGCTTGGGCCTCATTTTCGGACAAGCGCTCTCGCCCCACTGCGGGCCACTTTTTTGGATCCGACTCTTTCTTCATCGTTGTCGCCCTCCGCATTTCCACTCCTCCGCCTTCCCCTGGTTCTCCTCTTCCTCCCGCTCCTTCCACTCCAATTCCTGCTGCTGCTGCTGTTCGTCCTCGTCCTGCTCATTATCCTGCTCACCCGCCACCTTCTCCGCAGCTTCTCTTGTCCGATTGCGCATAACACGATGTGGTCGTTTTGTTGGGGTTGCAGGTCGGCTATGAAACGCGTCCGCGGATAGAGAAATAATCAGCGCCATTGGAAGGGAAGGGAAGGGAGGGAGGGATAGGGTGTCAGATGAGGCACGAGCGCACCTAGCTTGCACCTCCCCGTCTTTCCCCTCCCCCCCTCTCCACACGAACGTACCCTCCAAGGGCGAGAAGTTCAGCCACCCCTCCTCCTCCACCTCCGCCCTGTCCTTCCCCTCCCTCTCTCCTCGGTCGTTCCTCCTTCCTCCTGATCCATGGTGCCCTCCCTCGCATGCCCCCATGAAACTTCCGTTGGCGAAGGTCGGATCGCTCGCGAGCACTGGCAACAGACAAGACACAACAGCCCAGGAACGGTATGCCACTCTATCGCGTCGGAGGTGGATGAGACACTGAAGGGGCAGGGACGGAGGAGGGAAGTATTCGGAATAATGCAATACATTTGAAGAGACCTGATGTGAGGAGATAACCGAGATCAGGAGGCAGCCGAGATCAGGCAGGCCACACACAGGCCAATCAGTATCACAGCCTCCATGCCCCCACTTCCACCTCTCTCCGCTCGTCTGCTGCCGTTTCGTGCCAAGGACCAGAGGAAGGTTTAGGCTAGCGCCTCAGCTGAGTCTGGCGCACTTCCGGTAAAACGTGCTGACTTGACATCTTGCCACTGCTGGCGCTGACCACTGGCATCGAATCCAGGCTTTGTCTTCCAAGCAACCTCGAAGAGGGAGAAGAGGGATGGAGAGAAGGGAGGACAACGCCCCCCGAGCTGCTCCCGCTCATGCTCCCTTGGCGAGGAGGAAGGGGGAGGGGAGCAAGGTGATGAGGTTCCCCCCTCCCGAGCCTCTCCTGGTCCCGCTCGCTAAATATTCGACATTTCGTCGTTCGGCGACGTGGTGCCCCGGGCACCACGGACCTGTCGACCTCATCCTGAGGACCAGTGTTTCACCCCGGCCGTTTCATGATTCCCCCAAGCCCTAAGGCCCAAAACGTGCCCCTAGAATCCAAAACCTTGATCGACCGCGTCGGCTAGATATGCTCATGGCGAGGGAGGCCTGGGTCGGAAGTGCCGACCCCATACAGCGCCGGCTCGATCTGCTCGTGGCGCAAGGGCCCTGTGCCAGAGGTGCGACCTCCAGCACAAGGCTGGCTCGATCTGCACGTGGCAATGGAGGCCTGGGCCGGAGGAGTAGAGGCCTCCCAGATGGGTCGGAGTAGATGGGGTCGGACGATCGCGCTGCATCGCCGATACATCCCCGATGCATCGGCGCTGGAATTATCGGCGACGTCGGCGATGCATCGGCGACGTCGGCGTGAAGAAAAAATGGGCTCCACATCGAGCCGCATTGCCGATTCATCGCCGATGAGCTCGTGGCCGCCTCGCCGGGCTTGAGAGGGGAGGCTGGGCCCGTGCGGGGCCCAGAACCCCCCCAGGGCGTTGGCCAGAATTCGGCCTCACGCAAGAGTGACCCGTGGCAAGAGGTGACTTTTGGTGCGCGGCTTCGGGGGCCGCGGGGCAGGCCGAATCCACACAATCCAAGAGCGCCAGCCAATGCTGTCAAGACACCTGTGGGCCCGCACACAAGGTCACTCCGGCGGAGGGTACCCCTTGCGCGGAGCCGAAGGGTGCCAGAATTTTCTGGTATCGCCCCCACAGGGCCACCTGGAGCCCGATGTCAGAATGAATTATTCTGGTAGCGACGAACGAATTCGGCCGCTACCGATTTTGCTTCAAATTCAGGTATCGGTCGAGTTCGGTCGTTCCCACTGGTTGCGACCGATTTCTGAATCGGTCGCGATCGGTCGCGACCGACTGGCAGTGCCGATCGGTCGCGATCGGTCGACCGAATGAATCCAGTTTCCGATGACCTGAAGGGGGGACCCCCGCGCCACGCGGCGGCTCCGAGCTGAGGCGCGCCCCCCTCCCCCGGTGGTTGCCCTCCCTCCCCCGGTCTCAGAGCCTATCGCCGCCGCGCTCGCTCCTAGAGGTACCAATCAGTTTATACCCTGGCGAAGGACCCTATCATACGGTAGGTTCGTTTCGACTCAACCATGGCGTTGGTTCCTGACACCGTGGAGATCGTTCAAGCTTGAACGATCGGCCTTTCCCCGGAACGTCAATCCCTCAACATCGACAGATTCTGGGTCGCTGGCGGCGTTCAACGTTGAGCGCCGGCGGCGAGGTCGCCGGCGGTCGACACGACGCGAACCTGCAATAAGCAGTTGTGAGTACCGCGCTCTTTTGAATATCGCCTTCAGTAGAGCTACTCCCTATGGGGCCACCACGAAACATGTGAGACCTGTGCCGAAATGAGCCTGGGGGCGCATACGGGCCCTGCCACAGGGGTCTCTCCCGCCGCCGCGCTCGCTCCTAGAGGAGCAAAACATGAACGTCAACGCGTATAAGAAGGACGCACGATAAAAATGCAAGGGCCTTGGAAGGCCATGTCTTCATTTTTCGAGCCGGACGCGGCCAGCAAGGGTGGCCAAGGATGGGCCGAAGGGGCAAGGATGCACGGGTGGCCTTGGAAAGTTGCTCAGCCTTGCTATTCCCCAATCAGAGCTTGCCTCTTTAGGGGTCCTAGCGGATTCATGTGATTAGGTTAGGTTTGCCGCCGATTTTCGCCGCACGCCCAGGTGCCCGGGTGCCCGGGGGTGCCCGGTGCCCCGGTGCCCAGGGGGTGCCCGGGGTTGCCCGGGTGCCCGGGCGTGGCCGGGGGTGCCCTAGCCCTATAGCCCAAAGCCCTATAGCCCTATAGCCCTACAACTCTATAGCCCTATAGCTCTATAGCCCTAAAGCTCAACAGCCCTATAGCCCCCTAGCCCTATCGCCCTGATTGTTTTTTTTTTCTCTGGTATCATGCGTTTTGACTATGCAGCACTCTTGTGAATATCGCCTTTCTGTGAAGCTCCTCCCTATGGGGCCACGAGACGTGCGAGGGGTGTGTAGAAATGGGCCTGGGGGCGCATGCGGGCACTGCCACTGGGGCCTCTCCCGCCGCCGCGCTCGCTGCTAGATGAAAAAAACACGGCTTAATCATTAACTTTCGGAGGTCCGCGCGGATTTCTCGGATAAGCGCTAGAGCCCCCTGGCGGCGCCTCATGCGCCGCCCCTGGGGCGCTCCGCGCGCCCGGAAGAGGGGCCCAGCGCCGATCCAACACATGAGCGCGGACCTCCCAACGTTTGTGTTTATGCAATTTTGCTGTTCCTTGAGCTCCCGCCCCCGCGCTGGCTACGAGCTTCCCCATGGGGGCGCGGCGCGCTGCTGTAGCCCCGAGAGGCCAGTCGACGCGGGCGCTTGGCAGCGCTGCCCTTCACACCTGGCCAAGGCCTGCTTCGCGCTGGGCAGCAAGCCCTGGTCAAACTGAGCAAGAACTGTCATCAAGCATGTCACCAATCTCTTCCGTCCTCAATCCGGCTGCGCAGACGAAGGCGAGCAGGGGGCGCCTGGGGCATGGTGTCTAGCCTCAACCCGAAGGAGAAGCCACCGACGCTGGCACTCGGGCTGTACAGCGCGGTGTTCCTCGGCCAGGGGCGATACACTGGTGCCCATGGGAGGGGGATGTGGGGTGGGACTGAGGTTAGGGAAAGGAAGGGGCGGCAAGGTGATGGAAAGGCTGGCGGCGACAAGCGCATCTGGAAAAACAGCGGGCGCGCCAGGGGGCAATCGCGTCCGGCGGGGAGGCAGTGGAGGGGAGTGGGGGAGAGATGACGGCTCAACGCAGCCTGGCAGAGCGAGGCGCACGCACCAAATCAAGGGGGTTCGGCAATCCCGCCCGCCCTGCGCGTAGTTGCTTCAATGGTCACCTGTTCTAGCCCCATGATTCCCCATCGGCGAGGGGGTTGCTCCAGCCCCCACCCCACGTCGGACGACTCACTCTCCAGCCCCACCCGCCAAGCGAAGCCTCCTAGGAGGGGCCTCTCGGGGGCTTCCCGGGAGCTCCTTGAATGCCTCTTGAGGGCTCTTGAGGGCGCCTAGGGGGCCTCCTGGAAGCCTCTCGCGGGCGTCTGTATGCATCTCGGGGGCATCTCGGCATCGTGTACATGTGGTCCTGTCCTGTCGGCTTGTTTACGCGGTTTTGGCGGTCTTGCGACCCTCTTGTAGGAAGTCCCTTTACACCAGCGAACGTCAGCAGTCCAATCAACTTAATCTTCAACTCTACGAAACCATTATTGAGGTGCTTTCGCAATTGCTTGCCAGCTGTCCAACCCGCGCTGTGCAATGCAACATCTTTGCAAAGAATCTTGTAACCGAATCCATGCCGCGACGACGGGGATGAGGGCCCCTGGGGCTGTATTGGCCCCTCCGAGGTCAATCTCTTGGGGCTTCCTTAGGGTCCTCTGGAGGCCATTTAGGGGCCTCAAGATCCCTTCAGGAGCGAAAAGACGAAAGATGCACATCATTGATTCTCCACACGTGTTTGAACTTGGGGACATCGCGGGAACGGCTTGGGGCCACCTTGGGCCGATCTGGAGGCTGTCTTGGCATTTCTTGAGCTGCCTTGGGGACGCCCGGGGCCGTCTTAAAGCGCGGGCACGCGGGTCTCGTGGCTGGCGGTCAACTTGATTGGTTGACCCACCTTTTGGGGAGAAACCCCTCCCGGGAGGTCTCGCAGGGGGGGGGGGCGCGAGAGGTCAGAGCGTCCAAGACGGCGCACGACTGTCAGAGCTGGTAGAGGTGGCTGCCTCCAACATGCTTCCACGAGGCCCCATGCACCGCCACAGAACTGCCCTAGGTCGCCACGGGGCCTCCCAAGGATGCCCCCGAGAAATCAACATCCTTCAAAACCCGGACGGGCTTCATATGTTCCTCTCTTGCCTTGTCGCTTCCCATGGGTTTCTGATGCCTCAAGATGGCCCAACGTTAAACCAACACGGCCCCAGGAGGAGCCTCTCTGAGGCACCCAGAGGGCTCCAAGAGACCCCAGAGGACGCCGCGAGCCTCCAGGAAGGTTGGCCGAAGGAGTGCCCAAACGGCCTCCACGCAAACCCCACATGGGCCCCGAAGGACCCAATGTCCCCTGAATGGCTACAAGAGGCCTCCAAGAAACTCACAGAGATCTCCCAGTTGACCAGCGTCGGCCTCCACATTTGACTATATAGTTTTATATTTCGTGTATATATACATACATACATACATGCATGCATTCATTCATTCATTCATACATACATACATCTATTTATACACATGCAGTATATATCATATACTTGCTTCCTTGCCTCCAGTCTCCCGACAACTCGCCTGCACATCGTTTTTCGATGAGCTGGTGGGAATACGTTTTGGCCAGCGGCCGCGGGCGAGCGCGCCGGCGGCGAGTCAGGTCAAAGCGGGCGCAGGTGGGAATACTTTTTAGTCGGCGGCCGCGGGCGAGCGCGCCGGCGGCGAGTCCGGTCAAAGCGGGCTGCGCAAAGACTCGCTAGGCAAAGGAAACGCGGGAACAACAAACATAGCAAGTGGGAATATTTTTTTGGTCGGCGGCTCCAAGGCAGCGGTCAAGGAGCGAATGCGGCGTCCAGGTGGCAGATCGGGGCGAATTTGCAAGCAAAGCCGCCAGTGTCGGCGGACAACTTCGCACCCGCAAGACAAACTCGCAGTTGCACATGCAAAGAACAAAATGAACTAAATTCACAAGCGAACGCACATTGGCGCAGCAACGGGGACCGAAGTAAACGGGCTGCCGAGAGGAATGTGCGGAGGCAACGGAATGAGTCGCCGGGGCGGCGCCAGACTCCATGCCGACCTGCACAAGCCGAGCGGCTGTGCGGTGTAACCGAGACAGAGCGCGGGGGAAGACTACAGGCTGCACAGGCGTTGCAGACTGAACCGCTCAGCGCCCAGGCTTCAGAGTCCTCCTCCCAGAGCCGGGGGGAGCCAGCGGCAGCCCGAGGCGCACCGTGTTGCCGACACCTGAAGCGGAGAGGTCCGCTGGCGTCCGAGACAGTGCGCGGGGGAAAACCAAAGGCTGCACAGGCGTTGTAGGCTGAACCACTCAGCGCCCGGCCCTGAGAAGCCCATCTCCCAGTGCCGAGGGGAGCCAGCGGCAGCCCAAGGCGCAACTGTGCTGCCAGGAGAAGGTGGGAATACTTTTTTTTTACAGCCGCAGGCGGAAGCGCCAGCGGCGGGCGGTCGCGGGCGGGCTGCGGCCGCGACTAGCGGCGTGCGCGCGCGAGGCCGAAGGTGGGAATACGCGAAGCGCCAGGAATCCTACCAGGCCTCTGGGCGTAGGTGGTTCAAGGCTTTTCCAACCCCCTTCTTCCTTTTCGGGGAAGGGTTCGCCCTTCCCCCGACCCTCTCGTCTGGGTTTGGACAGCACCCCCCCTGCCAGGTGGTAGAGCGTTCAAGATGGCCCCTGATGGCTCCACGATGGCCTCGGATAAGCCCAAGATGGACTCCAAGTGACGCAAGCTAATACCAAGATGGCTCAACCTGAACCCCAACATGCCCCCAATCCAACCTCCGAAAAAGGCATCCAACCGACTCGAACCCAGAACCTCGAATCTAGCTCCCCCTTCCTGGTCGCTGGAACCGATGCTGGGCGACCTCACACCCTCAGCCGGCTCCAACACTGACTCACCACGCCGCGGTGTGGCACCACACCGTTTGGGGACCGTCAAGACCCTCGGGGGCGTCCAAAAGGGGGGTGCGCAAATCATGACTCGATGCACGCGCGCGGCCCATGGGGGGGGGGGCAGGGAACGTATTGGAATGAGAAAAGGGGGCCATGTTTCTGGGAGATATCATGACCCTGGCCATGACATGCACCCCCCCCTGGTCATCACCCATCACCCCCCTCTTGGCCGCCCCCCAGACCCTGGGTGATCGGCCCCTCCCTCCGGAAACGCGTGGGGGCAGCGGGCGGCCGCGACCCCCGCCGGCGGCCTGGAGAGCGCGGCGGCGGCCACCTCCGCGCACCAGGACAGCGAGGCCGCGGGGGCGAAGCCCGAGAGCTCCGCGAAGTCCAGGGCGTTGGCCTCCCCAGGAGGGGATGACCGTCTCCTCGATGTAGCAAGGCAACGAGACGGGTGTGTTTTTTTTATTTTATCCATTTTCGCCTCCGAGGGCCCTTACCATGCCCCGGGGCCACCAAAAAAACGACTCGGGCTTCGGGACGAAAAACCGGTCTTGGGGAAGGGTCGGGAACAACCCCATGCTGGTTCATGCTGCTGGCGTCTTTACTTAAAACGCGTTCCTCTTAGATTGTTGGGCCTCTGGGGGCCAAGGGGCCCCCAGAGATCTCCGATGATCTCCAGCGATCTGTGGCCTCCCTTTCAGGGAGGTGCCTTCCTCGTGTCGTGGACGGGAATGATGCAGGATGGAGACCAGCTGGTGCAGATTTACCGCGTGGGGCCGCGCCAAGGAAAGAAGGACGGCATGCGCAAGCGGGAGGCCAGGGCAGACGACGCGGGCGGACAAGGAGTAAAGGCCGAGGACGGTAACAATGTCAGCCGAGGAGAAACGTTACACATTACGACCCTTCCCGCCCACCCGCATGAGCAGACATGAACTTCGACGCCGACTGCCACCCAACCGCTGTCACACAAACTCAATGTCCGTATTGCTGTTGCCCCCGCCGCTGCCGCCGGTCGCCGCCGTTCACCTCCTGCTCCTCCTGCTCCTCCTCCTCCTCCTCCTCCTCCTCCTCCTCCTCCTCCTACTTTTTACGTGAGACCGACCTGAGCGTGAACGCTGTGGCGTTTGTTCTCCTCCTCTTCCTCGTACTCCTCCTGATCTGAAGTCCCCAGTCGTCCCCAGAGATCTCCAGATCCCTGGAGCTCTCCAAGGAGCCCCCCCGATGCGCCCTGAAGCCCCTGGACGCCTCCAGAGGCCTAACAAAGACCACAAACACAACAGGACCCCATGACCCGCATCGGGGAAGGGGTGTGTGGAGGGGTGGAGGGGAAGGGCGGGAAACAATGCTCAGGGGGGATCCAAAGATCACGAGGGCCCTCGATCCGACATTTGCACGCGACTCCCCGCACTGCAGAAGTTTCTGACGGTTCACGAGGCGCCAGACAAGCACCTTGATACCATAACAACCAAGAGCGGCCTTCCGACGAAGGGGGGAAAGGGGGAGACCGACTTCGGCCAGAAAATGCTGCCCCAGGTGAAGGGCACTCTGCGTTCGTCAAAAAGAACTGGAAGGGTCCGAAGGGCGTATTGCCCAGGGGGGAACAGCACGGATTTCCAAAAGCGCCGATGGTCCATGCCTTCGGCGAAACTCCCGGACGAATGCGTCCAATGCCCGACCCTGACCCTGACCACGACCACGACCGCGACCGCGACCACGACCGCGATGGACGACTGATGACGGACGGCCGCTTCTCAGCCAGCGCGGAGGGCCGATCACTCCCCGCCGCAGCCAGCCTTGGTGTACAGGCTCTCGAAGGTGTAGGTTCCCCAGCGGGCCGCGCCCCAGTCCAGCAACGGACCCAGCCACTGGCTCATCAGCGAGCCCGGCTGCCGCGACAGCGCCACGTGCTGCCCGAGGGCCGCGCACACCGCGAAGACGGAGGCGGCGCTGAGGTCCCTGATGCTGTCTCCCGGGTCGGCCCGCAGGATGGTCGAGGCGCGCGACCTCAGGTAGCTCAAGCAGTGCTCCGACACCTCCGAGCCGAGGGGGCCCAGGGCGTCAGCCGCGGACAATGTGGCGAAGAGGGTCGCGTCGTTGACAGAGTTGATCAAAGTGCGGCGGCACGCGCTGGACAGCGCGGGCATGTCGTACATGTCGGCCGCTCGCCACACGGCTGCGGCGTTTCCCTCGGTCACGGCGCTGATGGAGCCGGAGGCCAGGAAGAGCAGGCAGAGCTCGAAAGCCTCCTTGGTGACGTCCCGGATCACGATCTTGTCCGAGAGGCCCCCCTCCAAGAAGGGGGCGCCCAGGAGCGCCCTGAAGTAGCTGCTCTTCGACGACAGCCGCAACCGGGAGGCGCGGACCTCGGCGCCCTCCACTACGAAGGTCACATCCTCGCATCGGCCCTCCTCGCAGCGGTTCTGAGGTGCCTCGTCTTCCAGCAGGTCGATCACCGCCATCCGCGGAAACAAAGGCGGAGTCAAGCCCTGCCTGGCGGGCCCTTGAGCCAAAACGGCTGCGGGTACTAACACTCCTCCTCCTCCTCCGCCTCTTTCCCTCCTCCTCCTCCTCCTCCTCCTTTTCGAACGTGGACGCAAGCTCTAGGCCCAAAACGGTATACCGACTGCGACCCAAGATCGTTAGGAAAGGTTCTGGGTGGGTCTTGGATTCCTCCTTCGCTATCTGCGAAGAATTCCCCTCCGCATCGCGCCCAGCTGCATCGCCCCCAGCGTCTTTCTTGAGGCTCCCTGAAGCGCCCCAATGCCTCCCTCCATAGAGACTCCTTCCAAGGAACGAGCTTTTCATGTCACCGCCTAGAGTGGGGGAGTTCGAACCTCCCCTCACCTCACCTCCCTCCCACGCCCCTGGATGCAGGGGGTGGGGGGTTCGAACACACCCTTTCCCCCTGATCAGGGGGGGGGTCGAACTCCCCCCCTGCCCCATCCCTTACTCGCCGCTGGCAAACGACGACGGCGGTCGCAGGCGCTGGCAACCAACGACGACGACGAACAGCCTCGACGACGACGACGACGGAGAACGACGACGACGACCGACGACGACGACGAAGAACGACGACGACGACCGACGATGGTCCTCGTACTCGTCGTGGGTTGCCGTCTGATGGCGCCCGCTGTCGTGTCGTCGTTTGCCAGCGGCGAGTAAGAGGGGGGGGGGTTCGAACCCCCCCACCATTGAATGGAGGGCGGGGGGGAAAGGTGGGGATGGGAGCAGGGGGTCCTCTGATTTCTTTGGGCCCGCGTGACGTCTGGGGGGTAGTCCCCCCCGCTCCGACGTGCCGTGGGATGTTCCCCAGGCGAGGCGCCCGCGACGCATTCCCTCCTGCCAACACGGCGCGCGAGGACCTCCCAAGGTGCCCGACCGGCTCCCAAGACGATCCAAGCGGCCCAAAGAAACGTCCAGACAGTCCAACCCACAGCGAATCATGATTCCCAATCCTCCCGTGTGACTGGCTTCTCGTGTTCACCCCGCAGCACCGCGCGTCCACTCCTTCTCCTCCTCCTCCTCCTCCTCCTCCTCCTCCTCCTCCTCCCCATCCTCGTTTTTGACGCTGTGCGGACTCAGGGCCGATGCCTGAAGCGTTAGCGAAGGTGCAAAAATATGCGGTCGCCGACTAAGGCAGCAGTGCAAAGAGAACAAATGATACCGGATAACAACAAAAACATAAGATGTTCAGGGCTATAGGGCCATGAGGCTATAGGGCTATAGGCTGTAGGACTACAAGGCTATGGGGCTGAAGGGCTATAGGCCTATAGGGCTAAAAGGCTATAGGGCTATAAGGCTATATGACTATAGGGCGATTGGGCTAAAGGGCTATGAGGCTGTTAAGGCTGCTATAGGGCGGTATGGCTATACGGCTATCGGGCTATAAGGCTATGAGGCGATACAACTTCGGGGCTATAGGGCGGGCTAGAAGGCTACCGGGCACCTGGGCAACCCCGGGCACCCGGGCATCTGTCGGCGACGCACCACACCTAACCATATGAATCCGCTAGGACCCCTACAGAGGCAAGCTCTGATTGGGGAATAAAGAATAGTGGCCCGCAAGGGCGAGGGTAACATGGTTCGCGGCAGCAGGTGAGGAAAGGTACCAGACATACAACACACCTTAGAATAGCAACCAGATCGGGAGGAGGAGCGATTAGGGATCAACATACACGTGCATAATAACGGCTTCGTGGGCAGGTGCGACGCGTAGGCCGGGCCGCCAGAGTAGCCCCCTCCGCACAGGCCCAAATGAACATAACCTGTCCCCCGTCCCCCATCCGTTCCCTAAGCTGGTCCAGGCAAACCGTGTCTAGATAATGGTGACTGTAAAGAGGTGTCAGAACAGGCGATGCTAGTAGGCACAGCGGGAAAGGAGCAATCGAGAAGGGCAGTATGCTTGAATGGGAAATGTCTGTGATGCTTGAAACATGAAGAACAAAGAAGTACAAGATGGCCGCGCCCTCTGCTAGGATCGCGCCTGTGGGTCTGTAAGTTAGCGGAGCCACGCCCTGTGATCCAGGGGCAGCCGAAATAACGTGCGAACTGTACTTCACCCTCGCTCTCACCTCCCACGCGCCTCGCCATGTGGACCCCGCCACCAGCACAACTAGGCCAAACGATTGTCGTGCTGAGAGGGCGGTCGTAAACTGAAGAGGCTGTCGTAATGAGTAAAGGCTGGCCCGTGATGACAATGCGGCAGTGGCGAAGGAGTTGACCAACCTCGGGCTGGAAAGAAGTCATTGCAAACGAGGTAAACCGAGTGCATAGTGATCGAACTTACAAACTGTAGAGTGGTCCGTACGAAGAGACTGCAAGCTTGACGGCAATTCTTGTGCTGCTACCCTGAGTTTCACGGTTCACACCCGACCTCCAGGGCCTCGGGGCACTCGTGCCTTTTGTAATCTGTGTTTCGGGTTTAGCTCGAAACCTTCTTACGTATATGGCAATGCCATGGCGAGCTCCTAATGAGTAATGTAACGCCTACTGACTTGCTGGATGGAGTGCTGCATACTGGGCGCACTGTGGCTGGTAGTCCACAGTGGGGATGTCAAATCGCTCCCCTATCGAAGTGTCCGACTTGCAACTCACTGCAACCGCCGTATTCAAGCTGAGAGTACAAGCTGACAAAAATCATACTGCTCTTGGTCCGTGGGCCAAAATGTGGCCGACGAGAATTGAATGGCTGGCAACTTGAAATTGAAGGGCAACCGTGCGAGAAGAGAATGCGTGCGCGAATAAATGGCCTTACTCATCCTCTCCGGATGCCGATGCGTAGTGGCTGGCTCAGGTGCTACTAGCTGGTCAGAGTAAGTGTGCTGTAGCGTACGCTGGCCTGCAAAACGAGAGCGCTGCAAAGTGGGGCGCCGCTGCAGCCGCTGTAAAAAAAACGCAGCTGATAATAGAGGCTGGCAAGGGTCCTCGGCAAACTCCTCCCCCAACCCCTTCTGGCTGCGTTAACATCCGCCCGCAACCTCCCCCCCCAACTGCAGCAGGTCTCGCGAAACATCGGCATGATAGTGGAAGCGGTCTGAAGCTGGGAGGGCGCGGGGGTAGAGTGTGCAACTGGAACGTTGGTCAAACAACAATAGCAGAACTGGAAGTGAGGAAATTGGAGCAAACAAATGCGACTGCAGCGGCTGTGGCCTCCTTCACGCACGCGGTCCCCCCCCCCAGCAGCATCGCGCTGCCAGGCCAGCTCTGCCTCGCCGTGAGCAGTGGATACTCGGAGGCTGGGGCTTCCCCAGAAAACCCTGTACAAGTAGTACCCCTGGTGGGGGAGGAGAGGCCGACGGCCATCAAAAGGAGCGGAAAAAACTAGAAAATAAGACGAGACGAGACGACCGAGGAGGCGGACGCAACGGACGAAGCAGGAGGAGCTGTCTGCAAGCTGCGGGTAGAGCTTTCGCACTGCTGGCTAAGGTAATAAATTGTGCGAGCAGCTGGTGGGGGACCACAATGGGAAGTAGTTTCCTGTCCCGTCGTACACAATGTCACGGTCTACAAGCACAAACCGATTACGGTCAATGTGGTAAATGGCAATCAGAAGTCTTCGCCGCGCGGTAATTGCTGTTCCCGAAGCCGTCGTTGTGGAACAGGTGATGCCGTAGACACTCCCAATCCATATGTTATCGCCTGCCGCGTTGGTGTCCGGGCCGTGGTGGTAGATGCGTGAGTATAAGCTGTTGTCCCAATCCACCTGTCTTGCAGTATTTGCCGCGGCGAGGTTGCCACGCGTGGGGATATTGTGCTTACCCCTAGTTGTCGCTGCCATCAGCTTGTGCGGTGGGGAACCACCTTGGTTTCGGTGTTTGTGGTGCATTGTTTTCAGGCGTTGGGAACTTGGGCTTGGGAGTGATTGGTGTTTCCTGTTGATGGTCCCCCGACCTCCGTCGGACGGCTTCTAAACATTATGTGACACGAGAACATGCAGGATGACGGCGCGAGGTCCTTTTTTAAGTACCATGCGCGCGCGCTCCTGGAAGGGGGCCGCCAGGCCCGCTTCCCTGGAGACGAAACAACAACGGTTGGGAAAAAGGGGTTCGGAGTTCTGGGCTAAGCGCTTGAGATCCAGAGGGCCACCGTAGACCCGGAGGGCCCTTAGAATCACACTGGCTGTACTCTGCTGCTCAGAACCCGGTGCACTCCTGGCGTCTCCCGACTCGTGCACTGGATGGGCCTCCGACCGAGCTGCGAAGGCCTGCTGGGCCTCCCTGAGCTTGTTGTAGGCCTCGGGCTCGAAGTTGTGGTCGTCAGCCTCGTTACTCAGTTGATGACCTTCCGTGCATTCCGTCTCGTATGGGTCCAGACCTGCGAAGCAGCAGTCGGCCCCGCATGCGTAGTGGGCTGGCTCCTTCTGCTTGCGTTGGGCCCTCTGCAAATAGAGGCGGCGTAGCACGATGCTATACGCAGTGATGCCCTAATCTCCTTGCTCCAGGGCGTGTCGCAGTAACGAGCTCTCTAATTGTCTCTTGGTGGGTGGGTCGGTCAGCTGGCTCGTCCCTTCGATCAGCCGCAAGTGTACTTCAGGCCATTGCATGGCTGCTCGCGCGACGGCCGCGTCGATCGCCGCGCGCTTGTCCTCCGCCAGGCCGACCATGGGGTTAGCCGCGCGGTCGTAGCCTCGGCGAGAGTCGGCGACGCTGATGGCTGGAAGGCGCCCCAGCAGCAATTAGGGCCTCATGGGATCAAACTTTGGGTCGGCGATCTCCAATGGCGTGGTCCGCGTGAACTCCGCCGCGGCCATTCCTTCAGATACCGCCAGTGTCTCCGCTACAAACTGATGAACACACTTCCTCTTCAACTTGTGGCGCCTTCAAGACGTCATGGAGATGATGGCGAGCTCTCCCGTCAGGATCTTGCGCTGCGTCGCAAAAGCGATGTGCCCAGCCTGCGATGCCCCCTCTCGTGCGCTGACCCATGCTGCGTCGTTGAAAGCTGCAATGGCCAATTCGTGAAATCAAATGCGCTGGGTCTTGAGCTCCGCGGTGCTGAACTCCTCGGCCATCCTGCTAATGCGGTTCGCCTC